ATCGACAAACGATTTGTCATGTGGGTCTTACAACCTAGTGAAGAGGCATAGAAAACAAAAATTTTAAAAGTAAATAAGTTATTGAACTTCTATTTAATAAGAGTTTATATCTTTTAAAATAAGTTATGTGAAATCACATAATAAAGTAGCAATTGGCCTTCTTGGCATCAGAAGGTGGAAAATGCATTGTGTGGGGAAAATGACATGTCAGGTAAGAAAGGATCTGGGGTTCTTGAGTCGGGGGTGGGGGGACAGGGCTGGCTTGCAAGTTAAGAAAGGTGATCAGGGTATGTGTCTGAGAGGGAGAGATTTTAGGTTGGAGTGGGGAGGGAGGCAGAGCATTCCAGACAGAGGGAAGAGCTTTTGCAAAGGTCCTGGGGTGAATATGTGTTGGTCTGTCCCAGGGGCCAGGGTGAGTGGAGTGGAATAAGTGTTGAGTGCAGTGGGGAGGGGGCTCTCACACCCTTTGGGATTTTCCAAACCCCTAAAGAGTCTGAGTGACATAGCATTTTTAAAGACTCACTCTGGGGCTCAGTGTAAAGGCTGGGGGTGGGATGGAAGCTGAGTGACCTGTTAGGAGTTGAACGCAACAACCTGGGGGAGAGACGTGGTGGTTTGGATCAGAGGGCAGCCCTGGGGGAGGTGCGGAAGTGGAAGAGCATCCTGATGCTGGAATCATCCCTCTGAACTCATATTTCTTTTCAGAAATGTGGTCCTAGAGGATTGAGTAGTGGGACACTGCACAGGTGTTGAGCTGCTACTTCCCTAAGAAGGAAATCCATTGCTAGATCATGGGTTGATCCCTTACACCCCAGATTATGTCACTGTTCAGCTACAACCTCTGGAGCTAACAGCACCCCAACCTATGGGAAAGCATTCATTGTCTGAGGGCTGTAAACTGGACTACCCATCTTCCATTGGCCTCTCTTCTTTTCAAAACTCCAGGGAGGGGCGGCAGAGTCGCTTGTGTGCACAGTGGCTCTGCGGTGAGGCTGGGGGGTGGGAGGGTGGAGGGTGGGAACATTGATCATAACTCATTGGCTTTGTAATTAAACTCTCCTTATTGAAGCTGAAATTCTTGAAGACTCCTGCCTGTGTGAGACTGCGAATTATATATCATAGGGATTCAGTCTACCCTGCTATAAAAAGATTGCTGTATTATTGTGTTCATGGAATCCAGACTCTGTTTTTCCAATACCTCCATTCATAGATTTCTAGCCATCATACCAACTCTCTCACCAACTCAACTTTATGGAGGGATGAGTGTGTGACTAATGTTTTAAACTTTATTTGATCTTATTTCTATGAGGTATCAAGTAGCTGTTCAAAACTTGTAAGAACAATTCATATTGGGGAGAGAAAAGAGTTTTCAGGACATCTACCTGTGCCAGGAGCCCTGGTGGTGTAGGGGCCATTGTGAGGGGTTATTGAGCCCAGCAGAGGAGTACAGTGTCCTGGGGGGAACGGTTGATGTCCTAATAGGGTAAAGAATGCTGCAGGGTGGAGGCATGTCTAACCTTGGCCTTGTGGCAGCCAGCCTTGGGCTAGTGTGGAGCAGATGGTGCCTTCTCCTTTGTGCTGCCAGAAGTCAGATACGGCCCACACCCCCTTTTCCTAGTCTACCAGTGGGGTATTTTTGCAGTGAGTTGGAATGAACTTGGTGGTAGTGGGCTGATCTTAATATTTGTTTGGCCACAGCCATTAATTTGGCCACAACCATTCTTTTTACTTCTGTTTCTCACTTATTTTTGTTCTTTTGGATAAATTGAATATTTGTTATATATATACATAAAATATAATTATATCTTATGTATATAATCCATTTTACTTCCTCTATTGATATTTTAGCTATAGCTCGTGTGTGTTTTTGTTGTTGCTCTAGAGAATTACACTATGTATCTTTAATTTATCATAGTATACCTTCAGATCTTATATTATCTCTTTCCCATCGCATCAGATAGTTCATTTGTTATATAATTGTGAGGGGAAAATCAATGTTATACCTATCATATTTAGGTGAAGATTAGCTGTATTTAGATTTGCATTTAAAAATCGATGTGGGTGCAGCTCTCTTTTCTATCTAATTATAGAATTGATTATGTAGTTCTCAGACATTTGTGTGGCTCTTGGTTGCTGGCTTAACTGATATTTAATTTCTTCAGAGACAAATTACTCTTTCCTTTTTCCCTTTTGAAATAACTAGTGCGAGTTTAGAAGAAGAAGAAAAAAGGCAACCCTAGGCCGAAATCATCCTTAAAGGAAGTTGAAGCAGGGTTGGTAAAGCCCTGGTCCTGGTGTAGTGGCCTTTTGCATGACAATGATGATGAGAATTTTTCCCGCTCCTAGTTATTGGCACTATTTTATTAAGGTCTGAGTTGACTAGTTTGAGAATGTGAATGTGAATGGTTTGAGGAGCCTTATTTTGATTAAAACAAAACTCCTTGTCATATGTCTAAATATATTTTACAAACGAACCCTTTCTTGCTTTCTTGCAAGATTGGTACTTGTGCCACATCCTACTTAGCATCAGTAGATCTATCACAGACGTTAGTGTGGGGTGAGCTCCTGGCACAGTGGCAGCGACATGTTAATTACTGGAAGCTAACTCACCCTAACTGCTATCCAGTCAGTGCTGACTCATCACAACCTCTGGTGGGTTTTCCAGACTGTACCAGCTTACAGGAGTAGCCCAGTCTTACTCCTATGGAGCTGCTGGTGGTTTTGAACTGCTGAAGATGCAGATAGCAGTCCAATGAGCAATCATTCCAGTCATGGCCTTAGAGGAAGTTTTTATTTCAGTTTCTAGACGCATTGGCATTCCCAGGCTTATTGATACATCTGCAATGTGTATCTGTCTTCATTTGACATCTCCCGCTGTGCCTCATCATCTATTCTGCTCCTTTTACTACTCAGAAGTGCTTAGGTTTAGGACCCACCCTTCTCTGAAATGAGTCCATTAATATAACAGAAGAAAACATCTACAGTATATCCAAACAGGTCATATTTACAGTGGTTATGTTAGGATTTTAGCATGTATTTTAGGGGGACACAATTTATTCCATATCAATGATTTAGTACATATCAGTAATCAAGTATTCATCTCACGAACTCTACTATTTCAACTGGATTGATTGAAGTACTCTCTACGCAGACTGGCCATCGCTGGACACTAGTTTTTTTTCATGCCAAAGGAACAATAAAACAATCACGAAGAAAAAGCAGCAACAAAAAGAACCCACTTGATTTACCCCAAATTGTAAAATTCCATCTGTTATTATTTTAGAATGCTCAGTTCAGTTTATATATCAATGCATGTGCATTTAATTTTAAGAAGTAGTATTTAAGCTGCATGTCATATCCCGAAGTGCCTTATGTGTGAGTGGTTATTTGTGTTTTCAGCAAACTTTGGAGGTAGAAAAAGCTGGGCTTGTGATGACTAACAGAAGACAGAAAGAAGTATGCTTCATATTTACAATTGTTTCCCAAAGTACGCTGACCTGCTTAACACCCATCCGCACAGAATCCACAGCAAGCACATCAGTACACAGCAGCAATCACCAGTCGCTGCTTTGCTTTTAACTGATTGCTTGGAACACTTGCCTTCCTGGTTCTTATCGTGAAATACAATCCCCAAATCACTAACATTAACACCTTTCGAAGACTCTGCAGAGAGAAATGATATTTATGGAGGATCGTCTGAGGGATTTGCTGTTCATCCAGTTTTTTAGATAAGTCATCACCAACCTGTTTTCTCAAAGACCCCTGGGGGAATGTGGAGTTATTGCCAGGCTGCCTGAAAATCCTTTAGTGAAGGTATTATTTCTGTCATCGTTATCTGTAAGGACACCATGGTGACATTGAATAGTTTGGTTAAGGGAATACAGCCTTTTCTAACCTTTAGGCTTTTAGGTAGAATAGGAAAATCATATGATCCATTCAATTAGTAGTAGAATATAAAACTAGAGTCTCTACGATTAAGAATTGAACTTCACTAACTTGTGTTCCAAATGCCCCTTTAGCATGTTAACATCATGGGACATTAGTGTTGGAAAAGACTCCATGGATGCAGTAAGGCCAATTATGATTTAAAAAATTGTGGGAGTTGATGAGCTCAGTTGCTAACCCCAAAGTTGGAGGTTTGAATCCACCCAGAGACATTTTGGAAGAAAACCTTGACCATCTCCTTTCAAAACAAAAACCCCACCAGCCATGGAAAATCCTAGGGCACTCAGCTCTGCCCTAGCACACCCGGGGTCACCTTGGCAGCAACTGGGTGAGAATGCCCGTTTCCACTGGTGGTGTGGTGGAGACAATTTCCAAAGCTGGTTTTGGTAGTTGGCAACCTGAGAAGTGGCTAAGGCTTCTACTATAAATGTCTAGTTTTACAATATCAACTAGGAAAGTAATTTTCAAAAAAGTCCCCCTTTGAAATGGAGCAGAAGGAAGAGGGGTTCCCCAGGATGCGTTCTGTGAGCACTCTGTGGGTGAGGAGTGCTGGCTGGTCACCCCCGGGGCAGGACTGGAACAGCACGGTTGTCTGTGGTCACCTGCTGCTTAGTTTGTTTCCGCAGTTGACCATGGATTCAGGGTGGGAGGCATCAGAGCACTGGATTGGGTGGGGAGGGGGCGCGGCCACACACAAAAAAATCAAACACACAAGTTAATCAGAAGTGCAGAAATTATAGTAATTCTGCCAGTTTACCCCAAGATGCCTTTTCATCAAATCTGTCAATTGCACTAATTTGATCTGAATTCTAACACACGTCAAGAAGCTTCTAGTTTCTCGAAAGCCCATGGTAAGAAGGGGAAAGATGATTGAGTGTACTTTAGCCCTTTATTTATGGAGGATTAAAGTTATCCATGCTGTCCACTTGGAGGTGCTTACAAATAGTAATGGGAAGTCTTCTTTAAAAAGACAAAACAACACAAAACAAAAAACTGACCCTGTAGAAATAAAACATACAAATTACAAAAACAGCTTTTTATTTACTTATTAAACAAATTTGCAAAGGCAGTCCCCTCCCACTACCACAAATTAAGCAGTTTCCCCAATTTGGGGGAACTCCTGAGGTCAGCACATCCGGCCATCTGGGTGCAGTGGGGAAGGCAGGCCTGCGAAAGCCATCTTCCTGGTCAGGCGATCTCCCCTGACAGGTGAGCAAGCAAGCACAGCTTCTTAGTGTAAAATATAAGGGCTCCAAGCATCTCGTCTTAAAGGCAGTGTTTAACCTCTGTTCAGTGTAGCTACATTTATTAACTATATTTAGTGCATACTTTGTGCCCAAATCATACATGAGATGGTAGTCATTTGAACATTTACTTGCTATCAAATCATGCCCCCGCGGCGCCCCCCCCCAAGATGTAATTACTTTAAAGGAAACAAGACATGCCGATTGCTCTGGGAGGTGCAGATTCACACACAGTGAAGCCTGCGAGAGCTGCCCTGATTTGACGGCGAGTCAACGCTAACATGAATGTTCACCCTATCATTTGACCGCCCTCTTGACTTAGTTTACATCTGTTCTACTTTTTCATGTTTTCTACTTTCTTTTCGATTGAGGTTTTTCTCTGCTTCACTTTGTTACTATTGTTGGGCTTTTAAAAAAGATGTTTTTCTGTATAGGAAATCCAGCATACGTAAATCTACAGAGACAGTAACTGGATTAATGTTTTGGGGGGCCATGGCAGGAGGGGTTACGGGGAGACTAGGAGCGAATAGCAATGAGTCCAAGAAAGAAGAATGTGTCCTCAAATCGATTGCACAACTCGTCGTAACCCGATTGAACTGCTGAATTGCATGACATGCGAACTATATGCCACAAAACTGTGACGAAAACAAGGGAAATGGCACAGGGAGGTAGCTCCTCCACAGATGATGGGAAACGATGCCAGCATCGCCTGCGCCGGCGGCCAGGTCTTGCCAGGGTGAAGCTTCTGGCTTCTGGTGGCCGCGCGTGTGTCAAACAAAGTAGGACTGTGCTTGGTGGCAGGGTTTTCTAACGTGATCCCTCGCGCTTTCTTCTAAGG